ATTACCATTTGTTAAATAATTGATAACATCTGAATACAGGTAAATTTTCAAACGACACAGTCCCTTGATGTTTTGTTTGAAATATTTGACCAATATACTTCCAGTGTACTAAGTCCCCTTCACATTCCGTAACAGACTGTTTATGGTATAAAAGATAAATTCTTGATTGTCGTGAGTATTTTTGTACAGTGCCGAGTTTTCATATTGCTGCAATATTGAAGTTGTAAATAAATATGTACTATGATATTATTTTGTTTTATTATATCGTTACTTTAAGAAATATTCCAAAGATAAAATAAGAATACGTAAAACTTTCATTTTCTAACCAAAAAGTTATGTAGGATATAAACTTTATGTAAGTTTATATCCTACATTAATTTTAATAGAAACTGTTAACTTTATGCCGTGATAACTTGGCTTGACTTAGCAACACCAAATAAAAAGCTTTTATCGTTTTCTGAAATACACAAGTAAAAACCGTCAGATTATGAATACATCGAAAATATTGGCGAGGTGAATATATACGTGGGGCATACTGAAAGTAATTGGATCTGGCTACTTACAATAATAGAATTCGAAAACGGAACTCTTTGGGAACATCTTACTTTTTAATTTAATTTGCATTTGTTTTTTTATTGTGACGTCCTTTTGAAAATTGTGTGTCGCTATCAAAATGAATTTAACTCGTAAACATTTTCGTTGAATGATTTTTTATGACTCGTTGTGGCTTAAGTCAACAAGAGAGTTGCCAGACTTCACGTGGCATTAGGTGATGAACCACCATGTCGCAGCTCTGTGTATTCGTGGTTTGTTGAATTTAGACGTGAACGTGATCGTCTCCATGACGAGGTACTTGAAGGTCGGCCGGCGATTGCGATTACAGACTAATATTGACATCGTACGACAATTTATTGAAACTGGCAAAAAATATATTTGCCAGCAGATTCGTGCTTTGGTAGGCATTGGAATGAGCCACGTGCAAAACATTTTACATGTGCATCTAAAGGTTCGGAAGCTTTGCACTCATGGATACCGCATGACTTAACGGAGGACTAAAAACGACTGCGTGTCCAGTGGTGCCGTAAAAGATAAAAAAGCTTAACGGAGGACAGTCATTGGCTGTCTATAATAATGTGACAGGTGAAGAAACCTGAGTGTACTGCTTTGAACCTGAAAGATAAAGCCAGTCGGCAGAGTAGATCTTTCCTTTTGAAGATTTGCCGGCGAAAGTTAAGAAAATTCGAAGTATTGGTAAAAAAATGGTTGCTTCCTTTTTCGGAAAATCAGGACATTACACTACAGTATTGCTTGGAGATCAAAGGATAATGAGTGCAGATTGGTATGTCAACACTTACTTGCCGAGAGTGTTAGAAAAAGTTTGCGTAAAACGTCCTCACATTCCGCTAAGTTAACATAAACCTATTTGAGGCTTCAAATGTGGAACTTATGACGCATCCGACTAACAGCCTGGACCTCGCACCCTGCAACTTATTTTTGTTTCCAAAAATTAAAGACAAACTTACTTTAAGGCACATGGTTTACGAGCACTGAAATGGCTGTAAATGCGTTCCATGAATCCACTGAAGAGGTCCCTAAGGAAGACTGGTCCAACTGCTTTGTACAGTGGTTGCAGTGGATGCAAAAATGCATTAGTTGATAGGGAATATACTTTGAAAACCAATAAATGTATCATAAGTCTTATATCTAGTTTTATTTATCAGAATCCAGAAACTTTTAGTACGCCCTAAGTATAATTTTAACTTCCTTTACATTAGTACCTACTTGTTGTTTGCGTGCTTATTACTATTTACTTGCTTTGTATTACTGAACACTGGGAAGGCTCAATTGTTTAAACGAGGATAATAGAGGAATATTTTCCACTGTTTACATCCATGGTAATGGAATCATCATAATAGATGTAAACAGTGAAATCTTACTACGATTGTTCGCATAACCTGTGAGTATTATTGTCCCATAAGATAAGACAAGGAAAACTTGACACAGACAAACTTTATACCAAGCGTCTGGCCAGCGTGGAATAGTAGTCCAAAACCTCGATTCCATGTCCAGCAGTGATGGCAGGATATTGCAGCTTGGCTATGCAATGAGGATGCACAAACGTAGTAGGCTATGAGAGCAGTTTCTAGATAGTTCTTGACTGCGACTTTTCTGCGAATTTGAGCAAGTATCATCCTTCTCTGTGTATAATTTAAATATATGGTATTCAAATTCTCATTCTAATAATGAGTTATTTATTATCTCAGTACCTAGGTAGGTACTTCATCATGCTTGAGGGTAACCTAACAAACATTTTGACAAACGATCCTACACGAAGTAAAACAAAATCGGGCTTTATAAATTATATTTAAATACAAAATTGTAGTGTTAGGTACACACAATACGGCATTTCAAACTAGTTACACGAATTTGTGGCCAGATATGTTCTGAAACTTTCCGTTAGCAAATGAAGCACTTTTGTCAAATACATTTATAAGAATATTTTTCTGTTTTTATACTAGACTTAAAATTCACTGACACCGATTTCTTAAATGACAGCGTAGGTAAGTATCGTTCGCTAATAGTAAGACTCAGACCAAAAATAACATTATCCATAATCAATCAGGTTGTTTCTTTTACATTTGTCAAGAAAACGTCTATAAGGCCAGAAAACTCAAACTACTGAGATTACAGAAACTCCATCCATTTTCAACGTAATATAGCACATGCTTTTATAAAAGTTTTATGAAATTTTGTTGCATATTTACCTGGTTTACCTAGTATACGACAGTTTTAAATGTATTTGGAATTATTTTTTACTAATTTTCGGCTTTTCTTACTACTTTTCTACCCATAGAGATAATACAGACAGAGGAGAGAAGGTATTATATTGTAGAAAGAGAAAGACGGCGATTCGCATGAGGCTATCTTGCACCTCTACACTGATTTGCTCATTTGCTGTCGGCTCCTTGCTCTCTCTCCTCTCTCCCCTCGTCCAGTTCGGGCCAACAAATCAGCAAAGGGGTACGAGAGAGATGCATGTAAATCACCGCCTTCCTTCTCTTTCTACCAATGTCTTCGGATCGTGGCTCGCTTCTCTATCTGTATTATCTGTTTCTACCTACATACAAAACTATCAGTCGAATATTTCAACGTCATTGTAGCAAGAAAATTGACACGACATTATATCTATAGAAAAAACTTCATAGTTTTGACAACTATGAAGTTTTTTCTATTTGTGATTTTAAAACGGACAATAATACCTTATCGAAAAGATCTAAGTATCATAAATTCCATATCGAAAAGATCTAAGTATCATAAATTCCATATTATTTGTACACTCCTAGCAAATAAAATAATACTTATTTCTATATTTATTTAAATAGCAACCAACACATCATTATGCACACATTCGTTTTGCAATTTCAATAAGAAAATTATCTTTAAATATCTGCCTAACTGCTTGTTCTCGGTGGCGAGAAAACGATTTGCTTTATTATGCGTTTGTAATTTCGAATCAACAAATAATAGATGGTTCTGACTATCTGCTTTGTATATGTTACATAATTTTAAAATGTAATTATTATTTTTATTTCAATTAAAATTCAAAAAATTACACCAATTTCAAACTAATTTTATTCGTCACTCATTAGTTTTCGAGTGTTTAGACAGGATTTATATTTCATACATTCCACAATTATTTACGTTATCTGCAGTTAATAAAGCGAGTGCAGCATATAACTTTAGTCTCTTTTCACTCTATTACAGTCCATAGTTTTTTGTCTCTTAGACATTTAAATAAATGCTCTTGCAATGAAGCATTGTCAGACTTTCGATGTCTACAACGAGGTTGTCCTATTCAGTTTGTTCATGGAAAAAATGAGTCATCGTCGTTAAATCTCTTAGACAGATAAGAAATGTCTCTATTCACACACCTTTTTACAGATTAAAAAACCTAAAATACGTTCAAATTCATAATGTCATCGGATTAAATTGACTAGTATCTATTCTATATGCTTTCAGTTCATGATTTTTTTATAATTTCCTGATAAAAAGTTGCCAAGTACCTACAATTTTAAAGAAAAAGACACGAAATTATATTAATTGAACAGCAAATGCAGTTGAAAGTCAAGCTTTATGAATTCTATTAATAAAAAGCTTGTCTTTAAAGTTAACAGTATTTCTTATGTCTAAGTTCGATTATCTATAAGGCATTTTATTCACATCATAACTTTCATGGCGTTTTTAAATGACTAATTTTAGAACATAATTCTGCCGGAAGTTTGAATTTATTTATTATTTACAAATGACGTGAAAACGTTGAAATGTTATGGTAGGGAAATAAATACTGGAACACCAAAATTGTAACACTGTTTTTTAAGGTTTTCACATACATAGCCATTAGCATAAACTAGCGTTCATGGACTGTATTGTTCAACTAGACGTTAATAACAGTATGTAAACGCAGACAATACTTCTGCCACAAGCAAAAAGCCAATGAATGGCAAACTTAAAACCTGACCAGATTAAATGTTATTTTTCTGAGAGTTAGGGTGGCTCGTATAGTGGTGGCTATTCCCACCAATGCAGAATACAAGTGTAGTTGCAGAAAACAAGTCTTTGTTAACCTTTTCATACATTTTATACTTAGTACACGTGCAGTAAACAGCTTTTCCTGGATCCTGGTGTGGTTTTAATCCATTCGATTCTGACACACTGCATCACTGCCAACACCGGTGAGATGACGATCCGAGGGGGGTTTCCATACGTCAACAGAACATGAGATATCGCGCCTTTCGTCAACTCACGTAAGTTAGACTGGTTTTGCACACCATTATCGATTTGCCATTTCGAAATAATACCATGTATCTTTTCGTTTACAAACTGTTATCAAACTGAACATAACTAACGCGAACAGTAAAGACAAAACTATGTACAAGATATGTATATTTATTACAAAAACAATGCTTAATTATTTCGTATAAGCACCGAGTTCAAAGGCATCATTGTAGCGTCTTCAGATATTTAGACTTTCTCTTTAATATGTATCTGACGTCATTGATCATGTCTTCGCGTCCGGCTTTCAGTTTACTCTCTACTGGGCTTTGGTATTTTGTATCTATTGTCAAGTTCGATAGTTTCTGATCGAGGTCCCCGAACTCGTACTTCGGCCAGTCGTCGAGAACACCTTCGAGGTACAAGATAGAACTCTGCACCGTTCGATTGAGATTATTCAATAATTCGGACGTTTTGAGTTCATCGGGGGACTGGTTAATTTTCTTCTTAGATTTCTTGGTGCCGGCGGGCGCCGTCAATTCGTTGCACACCCCCAGTAAAAAAGTAATGATGCCTATAAACTGGAAAATAATAAAACAATAAGTGAACTTAACAGATTTATAAGTACCCTACCGCCCACCTGCCGTTTCTTAATTTACCTCTAGATAATTAGATAGGTGTTCTAAGCAGTCCCTCATGTTCCAAGCTGCGTCAGGGCCGAAGTGCAGCTCCGTTGCCAGGTGCGCCTGCGCGTTGGGCAGCAGGCCCTGCGCGGCGGCGCACGCGCTGTGCACCGGCGCGGCGCGGCCCAGCGCCAGCTCGCCCACCAGCCGCAGAGTGGTGCAGTACAGCTCTCGGTACGGCACCGGCGAGTTTACGAATGCTGGGAAACACCGATATCAACATATTTTTAACAAACGAAGTTAACTACCGAGGGTATCGTACTTCAACGTTGTTTTTTTGAACATAATAAACCTAAGTAACAGGCTCATAAATAGTACCTCGCTATTTCAGTAATTTTAATAACGTTTTTCTTTGAAAAGGTTACCTAATTCATACTAATTAAAATACTATTCTTCCTAAGTGGGAGTATAGTGAAATTCAGTTTCTACTTACCGATAATTCTGCTAGGAAAAGGTGCGGAAATACAAATCCGTTCTTTCTCGCCGTACATCTGTTTACATTTGTCCATCGCCTGACTGAACGCGTCGACACAAACGTTTAACTGCTCGTAATGGTCCTTCTTTTCTTCCACGCTCCTGTTATCGGCCAGTTCTATGCACAGTGCGATTGCTGATACGAGAGCATCCTTCAGTCTCAGGTAGGACATCTCTTGGTCGAATGTTCGACTTTTTAGGTGAATATCTTCAAATTGAGGCGGTTCGAAATTTACGATTACGTTCAGATCGCGATTATCCCTGTAAAATTTTAAATAAAAAATAATAACTTGACACATGTCACACACGGCCGTCTGATCCCAAACTAGTCAGAAGCTGTACTATAATAACCAGATCGCTGATAATGTTTATACTTATATATTTCTAAATACGTACATTATTATGGATAGATTTTAACCAGACACAAAAAATATATATCGGGCTCATCACACTATTATTTGTTCTGGTTGGGAATTGAACCTCTGGTTTTCCAGACAGAGTCACCACTAGCCTTATATTAATAAATATATTCGGTTTGGAACTTACGTGGGCTGAGCCGGTAGTCTTGTAGGCTGATGTAGAGGTGCGGGCGGTCCGGCCAGTAGCGACAGTAGCGCCCTGTCTCTCGCTGCCGAGGCGGCCCACCCGCATGCTTCTAACCGATTACCCCAATTCCCCAACTCTACTAGTTTCTCAAACGTACCGTACTTGTATGCGTACGTTAGATGTTCTACGCTCTATAAACAAAAAATATTCAAACTTCGCTGTACATTAAATAACACTATATGGTATCTTCTTATAAAAACCTAAAACGCATTCGGCCTTCGTCTGCGTTTTAAAGTAAATCAGAGAAAGTAAGAAAGAGAAAAAAAGAGAAAAAAGAGAGGGAGAGCTCACGTACATCCTTAGAGTGGTGCGTGTGGAAGCCGCGCGTGTCGGCGAGCAGCTGCAGCGCGCGCGTGGCGGCGCAGGCGGGCGCCAGGCGCGCGCCGTGCAGCCAGCCCAGCGACAACAGCTGGATGTGCTTCACCTCCAGCCGCCCGTACACGCTGTCCGCCGCCAGCGCGCCCCCTGGGACATGCACCATATATTCTGACACACATTCTTCTTCAACAATTAAACGTTAACAATCACAGTGTCATTTGTTTATACTGATGACATGGTTTGACAGGTTTGATTATGAAGCCGTCCCTTTTGTGGTGGAGAATGTAATAAGATTACTAGTTTTTGACGCGGCTCCGCCGAGTGTATGTCGGTATGTTACTCGCTAATAAAGTAACTTTCTATTGGTAAAATATTTTTTAAAAGTGGTTTTGGCGTGACAGCGCACAAACAAACAAACTCACTTACACTTGTTGTAAGTATGGATGTATGGATTAAATAAAAAATAAATCAAATTAAATTATAAAACTTTATTGCTAATAAAATATTTTTAGTATCCGTAATCTGTTTAGATCTTTTTTTGATTGATCAATACACTACTGGTCTATACACGTTTTTGTGATTTTCTTCACTACAAAACTTCAAGTAATAAATCCTTTAGTAATCAATTAACAATTCTTTATTCAGTGGCATGTACTAGTCAATCGCATAGTTTCTTATTTAAATATTTTATAGTAAAACTTACCAAGTAAATGATAAAATTTAACAAGCAGAAGCTTCGCATGGAAGTTGGCGGGTGAGTGGTGCAGGACTAGTTCTAGTAAACAGAGAGCTTCGACGATTGGCGCCGAGCTTTGTTGCATCACAGCTACAGATAAATAATGTTTTAAAAAATCAGTTAATAAGGTTGGTAGGTTAGTAGTTGAATCATTGGTGACAGATGAAAAAAAAAGTAACTAAATAAAAAAAAAGGAACTTTGACTATAAAGATTATTTAGGTTAATTATGATTTATGTAGAAAGTTTCGCCCACCGTCACTGTAAAATGTAACTTATGTTTTATGAATTGAATACAAAAATTCAATAAATAAATAAAAGCTCTAAAAGAATTATTCGAAATAAATTTTTCTCTAACTTCGGTGGACAACCTAGGCAAAGTAGGTAATTTCTATCAGTCTTCAATTCTTTTTCTGCTTAAGGTTAAAACTTAAAGAAAGTAAAGACTTTTCTGCCTAAACTAAGCTTTCTTGGGGTACACTACACAAATATGAAAAACTTTATTACGTCAGTCGCAAATACGAATTTCAAAATACCGATTTTCATAATGCCCAAGGGTTAAAAATTACTTTCGGAATTTGGTTTCCGGACCGATAACTCATCGAGTATTTGATTCTTCAAATCTATAAAAATCGGCAAACAAACAAATTGCATTTACGACTTTCGGTAAAATATATTTGGTTAATATTAATAATAGATATTATAATTCTTAGGTATTATAAAATTCGGACTTTTGAAATTCGGAATAAAATATTTCGCTGTATTTGGGTGTTCCTGCTTTCTTGACTAGATAATTTAGTATCACTGGAATATGTAGACCAGACGTGATGTGAGATGACAGTACTTAGTTAAAATGCATCAAATTAATGGTTACCAGCATAAAAATAATGATGAGCTGCTAAGATTCCGTACGCATCAGGTGCACAGAACTCCGTAATAGTCGCTGTGACAAGACCCAGCTTTAAACATCGCATATAGTGGTCTCTCAACTTGGTAGCCAGCGATAGTGCTTCGTCGGCTGGTAAAGGCGTCGCAGTCAAGCGCCACGCTGTCAGGCACGAGACATGGCGTTGGATGTCGTCAGTCTGTAGAAGTGTCACAAATCAGAATGAGAAATGTTCAAGGCTAATTGATAGAGGTCTTCCTCTAATAACAATGCAACTATTGGTGATATCCTAAAAATACAGGACAGAGTAAAAGATATCATGAAAGCTTTTTTGGTGAGTTCGGGGTTATTTCTACATACGTTAGAGAAGAAAAATTTGCCAAATTATTTCTATAAATGTAATAAAAATATGAATAAAAGGAACTTACCGTCTCAGGTTCACTATTTTCATCAAAACCAAGACATGTCAAGAAATCCCTACAATTCTCTTCTCTTTCTTTCTGTGGTATCATTGGCAAATATGGTCTTAGATCAGGCACTGCACATGCCTTGTTTGCAAATACTCTTAAATACTGCACGCACAATGATAAACCGCTGCCAAGTAACGAAGTGGGATCACCATCAACTGATAACCGTTTCCACAATTCCAAACGTGCTAAATATGGTCCTCTTAATGTCCTGCCTGAGGACATGCTTTCCACTAATTGACAGATAAATTCATGGCACTTTTCTGCAGTATTATCAACAGTACATTCAGGATCCTCCTCATTTTGCTTCATTAATTGGAATACTGAGTCAAAGTATGGCAAATAGTAATCCCAACGATCAATGTTTTCATATAGCAATTCCTTGCAAACGAGGTTTAATCGCTTCCAAAGACCTAGTTTTGTAAGGTATGGAATACAAGCTTGAGCGGTAGAGCCCGGCACTAGCTGAGAGTACAATGGACTCTCAATAAACTTCAAAATATCTTCCCATTTTTCCTGCAATTCTAATATCATAATGTAAAGGCGGGCTTCTTGTTCAGCTTCCATTTTATTGTCAGATATAAAATTATCTACCATTCTTTGAGCTAATGCAAGTAGAATGCCCCGTTTGGTGGTATCTTCTGATGTCTTAGCCTGTTAAAGTATAATTCTCAGCATTACAAGTTGCAATCTTGAACACACTTGTGTGTGAGTTGTAGGTTAACATAGTCAAATGTTTATAGTGTTATTTGAGGAATATGATTTAGGAGATATACATAAATTAACCTATTATCTTTAATGTTTCATAGTTAGATTAAAAAGAGAAGAGTTAAATAACACTAAACCAAATCTTGTCATTCTGTCAAGTTTAAAAAGGAAATCATTAAATTCTGCTGTTTGTTATTGTCTCTCTATATTGTATTTAAATATGACAATAGCCTTATTTTCATGTAGAGAACACAAGGCTTTATTTGTAAAAAGGTATCACAAATACACTAAGCCTAAAATGTAGTCTAGAATACAAAGTTATCAGAAACTCATTGACTGCACAATAATATCAGACATATCTGTTTACTAAATTAGAAAATGACAGCTAATTACCTGCAAAACAATACTCATAACAGCCCAGAAGTAATAAGGGTTTTTAGGAGCAAACTTGTATAGCCCCATAGCAGCTCGTTGCTGAGACCGATAATCACCTACCCTCACATAGGACATAAAGAGATGTGAGTGTAGTTCTTCACTAGTTGGTTCTGCCTTCACTGCTGCTTCATACAGGGCACAAACTTTATGTACTGAGAAAGAAATGTATGCATGATAGCAAAGTTGTAATGTTATTTTTTGATTAAATTTATTCAGTAGGATTGTGTTAAGTTTGTTACTTATTTATGACAGCAAAGTTGTAGTGTCGTGTTGTATTTTGATTAAATTTGTTTGGTAGAATTGTGTTGTTAAGTTTGTTATTTCAGTGATTTTTAGTACGTTTTTAATTCAAATTAAGAATTAAATAGCTTACACTGTTGGGATTCCCGGTATGAGATTGTCATTGCCTGTAATGTGGTATCATCGCTTGGTTTCTCCTCAGCCAGGGCGTCCAATACTGAGTGTGCCTCTGAACCTTTACCTAACCTAAAAAGCGCTAGGGCTTTTAAAGCTCGAGCTGCTTGTAGCGAAGGGCTCTTTTTTAGCACTTTTTCGGCTTCCTGGAGTGCCTTTTTATTATTCCCATTGTCCAACCAGTCTGAAAAGAGTATAAATAAAGATATTTTTGCCCTAAAACAATTCCTCTGTTGGGGAGGTTGGACGAAAAATATAATTAGACTTCACGCATTGATAGTACCGTATATGGGCCGCAGCCGACGCTCCACAATACCACCATCGTGCACGTGCTGTGGCCGCACCGCCATTTTTCATTTATATACTTTAATTCGCAAAATAGCTTAACTTTCGATACTTTTTTCGGCCTTTTTACAGCACGTTTGTTTTGCGATTTTTGTCTGTGGTCACAGTCATTTGACAGCTTATAAGTGACGTTTAATAGCTGATGCTGCCAATGAAAAATCTACAAAAATGAAGATAGTAAAAAAAAAATGGTTGGTGGTGGGTAAATATATTTATTTTGATAGAAAGACATGTATAGTCCTGCCAAAATAGACATTCACTCTTGCATAAATTCCCAAGAAGCTGAATTTTTGCATGAACGTTATGGAAACTATTAGAATGAAGTTGTGAAAAATCCCAATCGATCCCACGTGTACAAAAATTTTATACAAGACTAGCGGTGTTACCCGCGTTTGTTGTTATAACCGCGGGCAACGCCGCGGGGCAAAGCTAGTCTAAAAAAAGTAGCCTAAGTTACTCCTTATGTCATCAGCTATCTGCCAGTGAAATCGGCCCAGCCGTTCCAGAGATTACCCAGAACAAACAGACAGACAGACAAAAATTGTAAAAAAAGTTATTTTGGCATATGTACCGTGTAAACATACATATGCATTTAGTAAAAAGCGGTTATTTTAATATTACAAACAGACACTCCACTTTTATTTATTTGTATAGATCAAAGTCCTCAAATTATTTTATTTTTTCGCTCATCAGTGTTGTTATTCATGAACTAATTCTATCAAAAGTCATTCGCCTTTACTTAGTTCTGCTTTTAATGGCAATAAGATTTTTTGATCAAAGTCGTTCAAAGTCTCCCTGAGTTACAATAATATTTTTGCCTAGTTTAGCTACATGTTCTTAGATTGTTTGTCGAGACTGAACCTAAAAACTTTGCTGAGACCACATCATTTACCGGATAATTATGGGAACCGGTATGTATCTGATTGCGTAGCTAGGGGTTGTTAATAGAAATTAATGATTTGCGGTTTTGTAAGAGTTGTTTTCAAGGTGTAATATTTGTTGTTATAAGTGAAAGGCATACAGTAATTTATATCACCCAAATAACTGTCTGTTGTTCCAGCACTATAGGTGAAAAGGCAATTTAAATTGAGAGGATGATGGATATGAATAGTCCTTAATCTATGTGTTGCCAAACGTCACATTGATATCAGTCCATCCACTGCTTTAATTCTAGGCGTAATTTCTACAACGCATCGCTACAATAAGGCGAAAATTGATTGCGTGACTCTCAGATCTCTCAGTGCACTGTGTTAGATGTTCTGCACGTGAAAATTTTAATATGCATTTTTTCATTCTAGAAACATCCTGGTAAAGTACCACAAAAGATAACTGCCCAAGGCAAGACTTATACGAGTAACAGATAATATATGAGCATACAAATATTTCACGACATAAATTTTACATTGATTCAAAAACATAAGGCAATCATAAGTCTCTACACAATGCATTCTTCATATCGATAACGGCGTTTCAGTGCACGATAACTGCAAGTTCGCAAAGATAAAGTACAGTATGTACTTACCTAGTTAAACTTTACAAAATACATCTGATCTGATCCAAGAAACCACATAGTTAGAAACTGCCATACTGTGTCTGACTACTCGTGTACACTAATATAGGCTTGCTATCATACTTAGAAAACTAGAATGCATTGGCATCAGATCAATACCTCTCATCAGGTCGTAAAAATTGGATTATATCTCGTATATAATCCAATTTTTACGACCTGCGTAAAGCAGAAATCCTAAATTATGGCGTACCCCATGGTAGTGTGCTCGGGCCCACTTTGTTTTTGCTGTACATAAACGATATGTGCAAGATGCACCTGCCACACCCTAAAATTATTACATATGCCGATGATACCGCACTCCTCATCCATGGTTCAAACAGGACAACTACTCGCCAGAATGCAGGATCAGGTCTAAAAATTATTACAAATTAGTTAGCAAATAACTTACTAACACTAAATGTACAAAAAACTACTTTTATAACTTTTGGACCCAGAACATCATCTCAGACCCCTTCGTCTTTCGGCCTTAGGGCCTGCAGTTGTGATCATGACACTATTGAGTAAAGGACATACCTACGTTTTACACAATCACTCCCATTAAAAAATATAAGCAAATACAGAAACTTTTGTATCTATATCAAAAGTAACACTGTCTATTTTAACGCTTTTATGTCAACCAGTAATGATGAATTTTGATTCGTCTTTAAAGGTACACTCAGATTATTTGGAGTTGTATCTTAAAATATTATATGTTTTTATTGGTTTCAATTATAATATATTTTAAGATTTGGTTTGTTGATTTTATACATCTGGATATAAATAACATCACGGCAAAATAATCAGTACATTGTAGGAATAAATAAACAGAACATAGGTCGTAACATTTAATATAACATAAATATATTTCTATAATTTACAATTCTCCAATTTTAACCTACGTTAAAATTACAATATTCACCTAATTCGGCTACATCAACCGTCATTTTATCTCACTTATCTATTACAAAAGTCAGATATGCACACACCATACACAACATCATTTATCACTAGGTAACGGCAGTATAGTTTCTTCAGCTTAGTCTCAAAGCTTCATAAAATCCTATCATTTAGCTCATAAGTCGACGGTTTCAAATCCTGAATCTGGAATACTTCCTATTTTAGGGGGAGTCAGTTCTGGCGGGAGTTCTCTAGATAGGGACGCCCTCTTGTGTCTTGGTGGAGGCACGGGTGCCGGTGCAGGAACTTTGGACTTCAAGAGGTTTTTAATCCTCATGCCACCTCTATAGTAATACAGGTAGATGCCAGCTAGAACGCCGACAGCGACAAGCAATGTGACAATTGCCACCACGAAGCCGTACCATGAGCTTCCAGTAGATTCTTCTGGTGTTGGTACGGTAGGTCTTCTCGCTGGTGGTACGTATGTAGGTCTGGGTCGTCTTGTTGTTGTAGTGAAGCGGTCTGCAATAGCTATGTCAGCACATGCCCTGAATTCTTCTTGGGGTCCGCAGCCTACTGCCTCTGTTCCATTGTTGCATGAACCCCAATTATTACCAGCGATGTATCTCCATTGAAGAACACAATGGGAACATTCCAGACCTTCTGGTAATTTATACTTCATCTCATATATCTTGTTACCATCTTTAGGATAGTACTTAGTTGATTCTCTTCCATCTAGCTTGAGGACATATTTATCAAGACATTCCTGAGTTGTGTTTTTCGGCTCCTCGCAAACGCGAAATTCGAAGAAACCGAAATGATTTGCCGTCAGTTCTACCTTTATTATGATAGTATCCTGAGGTGCGTATTTGCGGACTATGACGCCTTTATAAAACCTACCACCTGGTTCGTGTGCTCTTGGTTTGGCGTCCCAGGCGTCACCGCAAACGCCACATTTCCCTTCGTTCCTCTGCCATTGGCGTGAGAAGCCACCGCAGAAGAGTTCGTGGTCATTGTAGTTGTGTGGTGTATCGAAGCCGTAGCGCCAGGCGGAAGCGCGTGAGGGTGGCTCGATGAGTCTGCCGTGGCCGCTCACTGATCTAAATGTGACTGTCAGTACTGCTATACACCAGAATAACTGCAACAAAGAAAAGATTACGTTAAATGATGTGAGATCATTGTAGGATTGTAACTATAATGTAATAAAACAATAAGCCTTATTTAGTGATCCAAATGTCGAAATTTTATCGTAGTGAATGATATCGTAATAAGAACAAACTCGATTTTGTTATTAAAAAAATTGCGAAGAAAGATTCGCCCGTTATTCGCACTAGCGGAATTCTTAACAATGGCGTCATATACAGATACAGGCTTAGTTTGTCTAAGGTTGCCTTTCGCTGTGGGTAAAAAAGGACTTCTCTACAGTCAGCGAACGCTCCATCAATATATAGGTACGCTGATCGACATTATATACGTAAGAAAGGTGAAAAGGTAGAATAAAAAGGCATGACAAATAAGTATTGTTGGCCTATTGGTTAGCAGGCATGGGACAAAATCATAGTGAACTGTGAAAGGCCGATGATTTATCATTAGTTTTTTTCGTACGTAGGTTAGGATTACTACTCACTCACGCGTTGTTGCCAATTAGCTGTTTTCAGACGATGCACAAAGACCCTATTTCGCCTATTTTACAGTAAATCTAGTATTTTTTTTTTTAATGGGACTAATCCCGCCCACATGCCCACCACTGTAACTCCTGTACACCAGGATCCACAGCAGTGACCCACGAACACACCGAGTTATGACACTCGGGAAGTCCCAGGAAGAAATTAAACTGTCTTGGAACCCGCAACGAAATTAATCAGAAGAAAATTGGAGGAGTTGGAAATACAGTAAATTCACTTCCCTCCTTAGCAAAGCGGGAGACAAAATGAAATAAAATGGGCATACACCCTTTTAAACAGGGAAGCACCACGGCCACAAATATTACGGGTCCTACGTGAGCTATATTTGATTTCTATAATATGTATGGCAGAATCGCCTAAACGCACGGAAATTCACCCTAGTTGACACAAGATCCAGATAGTATACCGCCCCAGATGTCACCTGCAAGGTATTCAGCATTATATTACGTTCATTATACCAAAGACTACATTCCCAGAGGATATGATGAGCAGACTGTTCATAGTGAGAGTTAGGTGTTGAGCATTGACACAATGGTGACTCGACTAATTTAAATGAATAAAGCTTGCTCTTAAAGTTACCATGACCCGTAAGAAATTGAGCGACACAGTGATCCACCTCAAGCCATGTCCTCGACAACCGTTCGCGAACAGATGGAAAGAATTGGTAAAGATGGCGCCCCTTGGATGATTCATCCCAGCGTTGTTGCCATTCGTCTATGAGGTCATTATAGACATCGGACTGCTGTTGAAGCAATCTTGTAATTTTACCGCGATCCCGCGCGCCCAAAAAATCGCATTCCATGTTTTGTTGTCTTGAATAGTACATGGCTGCACGTCTCTGCACTTCGAGATCGACCGGAAGCACACCCGCCAACACCGGCAAAGCCTCGGTGCTAACCGTCCTATATGCCTTGCACAAGAATATCAGTGCAAGTCGTTGGCCTTGTAACAGTTTGCGACGGACAGCGCCTACGGTCGCCCTATCGGCCCATACAGGTGCACCATAGCACATAGAACCTAAATAAGTAGCTCCGTATATGAACTTTAATGTATTAAATGATAGACCCCATGTCGCAGTTGATATCCTTGTCAATGCACAGAAACTCTTTTTAGACTTTTCATTAACTATTTTAATATGTTCGATAAATGAAAAGTTTCTTTCTAAAACTAATCCTAGGTAACACACTGAGGCCTTATTTTTTACAGTAACATTGTCAAATCTAATGCCTGGCGGTGATTTGAGGTTACCTTTTAAAAGTAGCTGGAAGGTTTTGTTGGGTGCAAAATTTAAGCGATTACGTTCACCCCATTGAGATATCAAGTTCAAACATCTATTGGCTAATCTCTCAAGCCCCGCCCTAGTATCAGATTCCACCAGTAATAAGCCGTCATCAGCATACGCGTTCAGAGTACATCCGGATGGTATTGGTATCGCAAGAAAATCGTCGAAGCCAATATTCCACAAGTATGGACCTAGCACCGATCCCTGAGGACATCCCATTGTAAGCGCCTTCGACACAGAATGATGACCAAGTTTAGTAGTACCTTGTGAAAAGTACGAAGATATAAGGGAATAAATATTTTTAAAGCACCCCCGTGATTTTAATTTCAGCAACAGCATGGGCCACCATGCGTTATCGAAGGCGCCAGATATATCTAAGAAAATAGCCAGCACGTATTGAAATTTTGACTCTGTGACAAACTTTCTAACCGATATAACAGCGTCAGTTGTCGATTTACCCAACGTAAATCCAAATTGTCTAACATGAAATTTGACTCCACCTGGCAGAAGCCGGGGCACTACAAGACGTTCTAAAAGCTTTCCTAACGATGGTAACAATGTGATTGGTCGGTAGGATTTAGGATCATCCGGTGGCTTGTCGCCACTTTTTGGTATTATACGAATATTACCGCACCGCCATATACGAGGAAATATTCCTTCAGCAATGCAACGTTTAAAGACAGTGAAAATCGTGTCACCCGAAAGTTTACAAGCTTCTTTGATCATTTTGTTAGATATTTTATCATCGCCCGAAGCCTTGTTTAGTGGCAAGGATCTAATGATACCGAGAAATTCGTCTGAAGATGGTAAATCAGACATTGGAGACAGTGGTGGTTCGATGGCCCACTGCCTGATCTGTCGGTGATGATCAGTGTCGTTTTCCGGCCGATCGTCAGGTACGAGTGATTCTAAAAGATATTCTGCTGTTTCTTCTACTCCTGTGGTATATCTGTTATTAATTTTGATGTTCTGTATGTATGCAAGGTCGATTGATCTATTTGCCTTAAGTTCGTGATACAAAGGTGACCACGGGCCCTCTCTATCGAGTCTATCGACAAGTTTCTGAATTAAGTTTCCCTTCGATTTTTCCACTGCAGCTCTGTAGTGGGACCTGGCAACTCTAAGAGCAATGAGAGCATTATTGTACAAATCTCCTGTTACGTTGTGTTTTTTTAAAATTGTTTAATTTTCTACGAGCTTTCCGGTAGCTTCTACGTAGTTCGACTAATCTATCATTCCACCAATCACATCTACGAGTGTTAGTGATAGATCCGCGACCAATAGATACATCAGCGCAGTATGTGAAAGTTTCTGATAGTATTTCTGCGCTTTCTTCAGCTGATAAACTACTGCGACTGAAGTCTTTGGTATGAGTTGCAAATAGTGAACCAAACAAAGCCCAGTTCGCACCTTTAGTTTTATATCTAAAATTAAAAGGAGCCCTTTGTGGATCCCATGCAACCCTTGGTATGAATTCGTACACGATCAAGCGGTGATCACTACAGGATGCGTCCGGGAGGACACGCCATCCGGATATCGAGACGTCGCCGCGCGTAAGCGTCACGTCAATAGAAGACTCACCCATTGGGTTGCAAAAAGTTGGTGGCATCGGGGGTATTGTGAATAGTAAGATTCATTTCCGCAATGAAATCTTCAACCGCACAACGTCGAACCGTGTCGGTTGAACGCAACTTGCCATACCATAATGAAGATGACGCATTGACATCAGCGCCAATGATAATTTTATGTCCCACGAGGAACTGCAAGACGTAACGTAAGTGATGTAAGTGAGGATCAATAGGATGTGAATATTGAAAATAGCAGCTCACTACGTAAACCTTACAGGTAGAGGATGAGATCTCAGCAACAGCAGATTGTAGCAACGTAACGCAAAGATGTTACCGTAATTATTTTATTACACATAGCTACCATTCCCTACATAATAATTTAAATATACTAGATTTACTGTTCAATAGCGTCTAACTACCAACCTAGAAACCCTAACCTACGTACGCAAAAATCGAAGGATCAATTTACAGTTCACTGAGATTTTGTCCCATGACTAATGGTTAGTGATCCCGGCCGCCACTGCAAATTTACCATCATGAGCATGTAATTTATCTATTTAATTACATAGGTGTATATGTGTATGTATTTAAAAATGTATAAGTATATTGATCCCTATCTAGCCTAGCTTGGGATCAGGCGGTCGTATGTGAGATTTGTCAAGTTACTATTATTGTTTTCAGTATTTTTCAGTAGTTTTATAATGAACACTGATATGTACGTATTACGATTTACATCATAAAAACATCAATTACAACTTACACAGTACCTATTGCATAGTATTGTTGTTATCACACTTTCTACCGAAAATGTAGTCGTTAACGAGAAAAAATATTGTAATGGTAGTTTATTTGCAGCTGAAATTGTTACTGAAACATAATAGTCACGCGTTTGTTGTGTTAGACTAATTAAAATGCACTGAAGTAACTCTTTTATTTCTTAAGATGATTTATTGCATAAACTTTTGACGTTTTAGATTATCTGAATACACTTCATACTTTGAATTAGTTTCATTAACCAATATAAATGTGGCATATGATTTAGAAAAGTAATTAAAAAAGGAATGCCCTTTCCTTCGCTCCATAGATTTTTTGATTTGTTTTTTCTAATTGAAAAGAGACAAGTCTTTTAATATCCAGTACCAATTCTGAATACTTAAAACGTTGATAATTTTTGCTGATTATATGGTTACTTACAGGACCTACTCACTGTGCATTGTGAATGGATGCTTCGGTGAGTAGGTACCTGAATCGGATCAATGATAGCACTGCGTCAAGGGGTCGGACAGGGATTTGTAAATATTGAAACGAAGTTTCTTATCGCGCGTTACACGCTCTGAGCGGATGGGAGCGAGACCGAAAAAATTGTAACAAAACATTTTCCGGCACTTGCGGAACTTCGTTCCGACCGGGGCTCCATATACCCCTCAAGCCATTTTTACTTTACTTAGGTAAGTATAATATGCGGATGTTTTTTTTTGTGGTCCTACTTAAGGATTGAAACAAAAATATACCTTGAAAATATAGGGATATTTATTTATCTTAATTTATCTATAAACTGACCAGTTGTTATATATTTTGGAAGGTACCTAATCATCTAGATCTACAATATCTGTTTCTTGGCGCCGATGTAGGAAGGCTATACCTATAACATCACGTTACGACCAATAGGAGCAGACCAGCAACGAAAAATGTTTCCAAAACGGGGCAAGTTTATTTCTTTTGAGAGAAACAGACGAGTCAGCTGGTTATATCAAATCAAATCAAATCCAATCAAGTCATTTATTTGTGATACATGGGTTACATACAGGTGTTCATTACATAATTATTAATGATGTTCAATCAATCAATCAATCAATCCGTTTTTATTGTGAAACATAGGTATACAAAGGTTGTTTACAGTGGTAGAATGATCTACTATGTTCTGCCATTTAGGCTTACAATAATTAAAGAGAAAAAAAAAAAAATTGTGAAACGCTAAATTTAAGACATGCAAACAGAATTACATTGAATTGTCGCAATCAAAGCAATATAATACTTCAGTTTGATTTTTCATACCTTAGAGCTTAAAACATGCAAAATCAATGTCTCTTTTTTATAAATTATGTATAAAATTTTAGAACTATGATGTCAATAAAGTAATTACAATGTCAAATAAAAAATAAAGATAAATAATAAATAAAAATTGTATGTATTTGTAAATTCATTTCTTTTAATTAATTATTTAATTATCCCCATTTACCATCTAAAAATTCTCTTATATCATAATAACATTTTTCAGATAGGCATTCTTGTAGATGTTTTTTAAATGGGATTATGTGTAGATTTCTGATGTGATCGGGTATCTTATTATAGATGACAGGTGCCATACAGAATACACTTTTACGCATTAATTTTGTATTTGCTTTTCTTATTCGCATCCTATTACTGGTGTGGGTTCTTCTATTGCGAGTAACCGTATCAGCTAATGTTTCGAACAGTTCCAGGTTCGACTTTACGAAAACTGCTGTTTCATAAATGTATAAAGATGGCAATGTCATAATTTTATACTTTTTAAAATATGGTACACAACTATCTGTAGATTTTAATTTGAACATTGCTCTAATGCACTGCTTTTGAGATTTGAAAACAATTTCTTTATTTGTCGAGTTTCCCCAGAATAGTATGCCATATCTAAGATAGGAGGCGGTTATTCCATGATATGCTTTAAGTATACCTTCCTCATTGAGCAGAGG